TTTATAAAAATAATCAATATAAAATTATAAAATCATAACACAATATGGCTGGGTTTGGAACAACATTCTATACTTATAAATACAACGAAAATATGATCAACAAATACCTCGATCTAATTACAACGCAATCAACACTCAAAATACATGCCTTCAATGTTGATTTTCTTGACAAATATCTAAATGATGGAATGCGTGAAACAAGGGTATGGACGAAAATTCCAGTATTAAATACCAAAATAATACTATTCCCAATACACATCAAAGAAGAATGGGCACTGATAGTTATATTTACAAAAATAAAAACTATCGCTTGTTATTATAACAAGAACCTCAATTATGAATTTGAAATGGCGGTCATAAAAAAATTCTTAATCAGCCGGCAAACAATTATCGGACATCATCCATCGAAATGGAAATCAATTTACTTCCACATTCCAATACAATCAAGTTCGCACAATTCTGGACCATGAATATTACATTTAGCAAAATGTATATCATTCAACAACACCAACATCCAGCACATTTACATGCCGGTAATCAGAAAAACACAATATAAAGAATTAATGATGGACCAAATTATAATCAACGCCGTTGAAGTATTCAAGACTCCTCCCACAGTAACCACCAATGACACGGTTCAATTAAAAAAAAATGTCGACCACGCAAATCAATCATGGATTCAACGGACAATGGATAAGCCTCATCAACAACCAACATCACGGACTCAAATAAGGCCACAGCAGTCTCGTCAGCAAATCAACCAACAAACATCAACAATCAACGTCACGGATTCAACCAAGAGAGCAGCACATTCCAACCCATGCACCAACATCAACACCAACCACATTGTCAATAATAAAAACAAAATTTGGTAAGTAAAAAAAAAACCCTCCAACAAAAAAAAAAAACAATCAAATTTTATTTCTGTACACAAAGTAAATTTAAATTTTTTTAAAAAAAAAGGGACTATACAACATATCAAAAAAACACACAAATTAATAATTAATCAAATATTATATTCATTGTTTTACCAACCATGGCAAATACTCATATTATATTTAAGAATTTTCATATTATATAAATTATACATTAAGATATACACGGAATATTCAACTTTTAATTGTATAACGTCAGTTCATCGTGGGGACACGATGAAATTCGAATTTCCGTGCAATTTGTAATATATAAATAATACAAGTCTTGTTAATAATAAAAAGGTAAAAAGGGACTTCCAATATGAGTATAAGTACTTGGGTGTGGCACATATAATGTAATTAAATCGGCCATATATAAACGATTAATATTATAATATAATTCTCATATAAGTAGATCACATAAAATATAATAAGACGTTGTAAATACACAGCATATTACAATAATTGCACCCCATCATCTAAAACATTTAGGGTGTACGGAAAGAACCTCTACGCGGTACACCCTTGGCAACGATTTAGTGATTCTATCACTAAACGGCTAATCTTTCCACCACGGGGCACAGGTCTCATAGACCAAACATGATAAATACCAATTCAAAGTCAACTACAAAAAGGCCCCTTTCAGGGCCAGCCCTGATGATAACCTCGATAAATATCGAGGGTTTGACTAGTGACAAAGAAATACTTCTAGAAAACATATGTAAAGAAACACTATGTGATATTATATGTATCCAGGAAACACATAGAGGCAAAGACCGGAATAAACCAAAAATCCGAGGGATGAAATTGGTAGCTGAAATACCACATGACAAACATGGTAGTGCTATTTTCACTAAACCTATGTTGGAAATAAAGTCATCAGATGTAATAAATGTTGAAGGAATAGAAATTTTAACGATAGAACTAACTAATTGCACAGTTACATCAGTATACAAACCACCAAATATTCCATTTACTTTCCATAAGCCTGACAATTTTAACAATTCAAGAACAAAAATAATTATTGGCGATTTCAATAGCCATCACACAGAATGGGGATATGAAAATACAAATGATGATGGAGAACGAGTTGAACAATGGGCAGATGGAAACCAATTATCGTTCATACATGACTCCAAGCTGCCTCCATCCTTTAATAGTGCTAGGTGGAAAAGGGGGTATAATCCAGATTTGATCATGGTCAGTGAAAATATAAGACAGAAATGTGTCAAGATAGTAGCAAAACCAATTCCACGCTCCCAACATCGTTCAATTGTTTGTTCAATAAACGTCACCATTAAACCCACTATAATGCCAATGAAAAGAAGATTTAATTTCAGAAAGGCTAATTGGAACGATTTTAGTACAGATCTGGACTCGAAGATCACAAACCTTGCACCATTAACGGAAAATGACGAGGCTTTTGTGAATATAGTTAAAAGAGTATCGAGAAAACATATTCCAAGGGGCTGCAGAACAGAATATATAACGGGTCTTTCCTCAGAGCTAACAGAACACATGCGTGCATACACAGAAATGTATGAGAAGGACCCTTTTGGATATGAAACCATAAATAAAGGTGAATTTTTGCTAGAAGCAATAGGTACAGAAAGGAGAGCAAATTGGATAAATTTAGTAGAAAGCATTGATATGAAACACAGTAGCCAAAAAGCATGGGGCTTAATGAAGAAACTAAATAACGATCCAAAGCAAAGGAATTCACAGAACTTAACCACACCAGATCAAATCGCACACCAACTTCTCTTAAACGGAAAAGGTCAGAGGGAAACAAACCAAAAGAGAACCCAGAAAAAACACACAACTGAAAATGAAGAATGTGGACATTTTAAAGAGCAATTCAATATAGAAGAATTAAACGAAGCCATTAAGATGCTTAAAAATAGGAAAGCCGCTGGACTGGATGATATATGTGTAGAACAAATTAAAGAATTCGGTCCTAAGACCAAACAGTGGATACTAGAGCTATTCAATGAAATCAGATCTACCTATAAACTGCCAAAAATTTGGAGAAAAGCTCACATAATAGCCCTTTTGAAACCAGGTAAAGAACCAACAAGCCCCAAAAATTTCCGGCCGGTATCACTTCTATGTCACTTATATAAAGCCTTCGAAAGAATGGTTCACAACCATATAGTTAGACAATTGACGAAAAATTGATACAGGAACAAGCAGGATTCAGGAAAGGTAAATCATGCACAGGGCAAATACTAAATATGACCCAGTTTATTGAAAATGGATTTGAAAAGAAAAATATCACTGGAGTAGCCCTTATAGACCTGACAGCAGCCTATGATACGGTAAGCCATAGGATTTTATTAGACAAAGTCTACAAACTAACTAAAGACAAAGGTTTTATGCAGATAATAAAGGCACTACTCCAACATAGAAGATTTTACGTAACTCTAGGAAACAACAAAAGTAGATGGAGAAGACAAAAAAATGGTCTTCCACAAGGCAGTGTGCTGGCCCCAATCCTATTCAATATCTATACGA